CGCTACAAAAAGAAGGCAAAACTCGAGGAAGAAAATCAAACAAAACAGCAATCAAATAGCAAACCTCAATCATCAATTCAAGACTACATCCGAACCCAAAATCTTAATGGCAACAACCGCTCCGCCACCTCCACCACCATCACCACCCAAACCAACAGTTGCACCACTCCCTCTACCATCATTCTCTGAAGACTTGTCCAGCCCCAGCGGGTTCAAATATTTTCTCCCTCAAGTACCAAAACTTATTTTCAAATGATTATACGTAAATATTCAACCATCCGTCGATGATAACCAATCATTGTTGAGGACCCCAGCAAAGGTTCCTCAACCATTGACTGCCTAAATGGTGTTCATCAGCAGTGGTCTAATCCAGCTGATGATGGTGTCTTCTCATCTTCCATTATGAACCCAAACTGTTCTCGACTGCCTTGAAGAAAAAACCCTCGAACACCATCTGTGTTCGGACCTCTATTGTCTCGCCTGTTGAATGGAGCACCCACTGCGTCATTTCCCTGTGCACCGGCGACCCAGCATGATCATGGACCGTCGTTGTCTGACCAATCTTCTTCAGTCAGGAGGAACGATATGGACTTGATTGAGATGGTTTCTTCCTCTCAGTTCTGGCGGTAGCAACATGATGTGCTATTTGGTTACTTTAATAACAATTCTCATTGGAAATTAGGATTTTTGAAATCCCTTGCCTATGTTGAAGGACTTGGTTTGGACTATAATGTCTGTTTGCTCAACCGTTTAATAATTGTTACGTATGAATTTTAAGATCAAAATGTTTGACATGTACTCAATTTCAATGCATGTGATGTGAACCTATACAAGTATTAGGTGGGTCGGGTTCCCGGATTCTCCACCCCAACTGAAAGGCCCAAACTTCAGTGTACTTATGGGAGCATTCCAATGAAAAAGGAAAACCCTCTTACTAAATTGGAACTTTTGAATTTTACTCAACAAGATGATAACTTTTGTTAAAACTATGGAGGTCCAACACCGTAACCAATATTGTATAGAAAACTTTGATGGGTCCAATGAACTGTTTAGTATTTCCTTTTGGAATTTTAAATAAACATTGCTATAAATTAGGACCAAACTACTGGGAATTCCTTGCTTTATCTTTCGCTAGAATTATATTGTATAGCTCGACCCCAATTAATCCTATGTTACACTTATACGATCAAGGATTGAAAATGGTAATTTTTAAAAATACAAGGTACGAGGACGGTAAGGGTATTGTCGCACCCCAATTTAGGAGCTAGTTTTAAAGTACTGAATTAAAGTTGTAACATGGAAAAAATTGAGGACCAAAGTGTAAATTATTAAAAGTGCTACTCAATTTTGGAATTTGTGGGAAGTTTGGGGACTTAATCATGAATATAACATTTTTTGATATGTTGGAAAAAAACAAAAAACCCGAGACCCCAATCAGATAACTCGAAGCAACCCCAATTTTTCCCCAATCCCTAGCCCGTCGCTTTCCCTACCCCAATCCCCTTGCTCCGGCCGACGGTGGCTTACACCACCAGCACCAGGTGAAGCGTCGGTCTCCTGCGACCAAAACCCTCAGTCAATTTGTCGATCGGAGCCGTTGTTTGCCGTGGAGAAGCTGATGAAGCTTCGTCGAAACCCTACCGCCGCCACACGATTTTCGTCGATTCCGACCACCGTTTCACATGCTTATAAACCCTATTCTCCATTTTTATTTGTTATTTACTTATTTCCAGACCAGGTCATCATCCGCACAACTCGTTCACTCATTTTTTGGTTCTTCAATCTTCTTTGCCTCTTTTTTCTGTTTCTCATTTACGGTTCATGTACTTTTTGTTAAAATTATTCCTGGGAATTCCCCGAAACATCCTCAGATATGCTTTAACCGTCCTCGAATTCCGTCAGTCATACCCTACCACCGTGGCACGTCACGTATATGTATCCCAACTATCCCGTACCATCCCTGTACCGAAAACGTATCGAGTACTTGAAACGGGTTACTTTGCCCTCCCCATGCTTCATGGTTATATCTGTCAAGCTATCGTTTTTGTCTTCAAATTGAATGATCGAAGCACTTTACCTTCTTTATTTGTATGTGAGAGTGTTTGAGAATGTGATTTATACAATCCATTTGCTAATATCCAATATTGGATATTAATTAAATCAACCAAGATATTTTACATGCCAACTGAAAATAAAATTAAAAGTACACGATTTTTTTTTACAAAGGGAAAGACTAAGAACTGCACTGAGCAGTAACCATGGCTTTATCTTCCTGCACCAGTAGTTCCACTTCAGACGGTGGTTCGGCAGACCAATGCCAGTCCAAACGGGAGAGTCCATGAGATCTCGCCAACGCGTCCGCAACTCGATGGCACATATACTTTAAAAGATGATAAAATCTACTATTTTAAATTATCAAAGGAGCAAAGTGGATGGTAAAATATACTAAAAGTTCATGTATTGCATCTAGAAGTTTGGTTTAATCATTTTATTATAAAAATAACATTTTAGTTCCAGTATTGTAAAAAAAATATTTTCATTTTGTAGTTTTGAAAAATAGATATTTTAATTAAAATATTAAAGTTATTATTAGTTTGCTTAAATATTTTGATTTAATCACTCTTTATGTCCATGTCAATTTTGAACTCTTGCAAGGTAATCTCTCAATTTTTTTTTTGAGTTTTTGCATAAATTTTTTGAACTTCTAAGAAATCAAATGCAAAATTAACTTTAAACTCTGTTATCTTCACCTACAATAATATTAAAATCACAAGTCAATTATAAAAAAATATTTGATTAAAAATATACATTGATTTTTTTTCAGAAGTTTAGATATGGGTGAGAGTAGATTAACAGATAATATAAAATCATAAAAATAATATTTCATTAAGTTTTCTAAAAAATGCAAAAATATTATAAATCATATAATTATTTATTTCCATTTTATTTAAAAAAAATATGCAATCACAGTTAGAAACATGCTGACGAAAAAAATCCAATATCATTATAGATCATTTTTAATTCAATTTCAAAATGTACATTAAATAAGTTATTCTTATTCTTTTTCAGAGAGCAATACTTACTCAATTTTAAAATTGATCGAGACTTAACTGATGTTTGAACAAAAATATTTAAACCACTAATTATAACTTTAAATTTTGCATCAAAGTATTCACATTTCAAATGTATTGGGACTAAAACATCCTTTCAATATACTAGAAGAGTTAAAACAAAATTTTAAGTATAATAACAGACTAAAATATTTCTTTTCATAGTAAAGTGGCTAAAATAAACTTTAGATATAACACATGAACTTCTAAATATTTAACTCAAAATGTGTTTAATAATAAATTCTGGATTTAAAATTTTGTCCGAAAAGAACTTCTAAATATTTAACAAAGTGTTAATAAAATATTTGGATTTAAATTGTGTCCTAATAGCTGCTTGACAAATTTTACTTGTACCCGATTACGAACCTATTTATCTGAATCGAGACTTGATATAAATCCAAATCGGATGACCCAAAATTAATTTGAAGCCCGAAACAATCTGAATCGAACCGAATCTACCGAATTTTTGTTGAACTGAAAGCAACCCCAAACTGAAATTAACCCTAACCGAAAACAAACTGAATTTAGTTTACCATATTGAATCGAATTGAACTTTGACCCGATAAATGAGTCTAAGTGAATGAATAATTGTTTATTTATTTATTATTATTTTATATATTATTTATTTAGCATGATAAATAGTAAAATGATGTGTTTATTCTCATTTATATATACTAGTTCACCCACTTTTAGTAATAGTTATGGTTTAATGTATTTTCTTAATTAAAATATCATCTCTATATTGACAATAGTTTCTAACTCTAAATTTGATTGTGAAATATATATTCACATAAAATTTTATTTTAAAGATTTATTGATTCGATTATTTAAACTAAATTTTTAACTCTGTGGGATATTATAATACATATTTATATAAAAGTCTTGATTATAAGTAATAAAGAGCAACATCACTGAATCTAGGACATGACAATACATATCACATAAATTCTTGAGTAATAAAGAGCAACATCGGAAGTTATGACGATAAAGAGCGAACACATTTCACAAGAAATATAAAGGTTGATCAAAAATCTAAAAGTTGACTCGAATTGAAACCGTCGAAATCTAATGGTTGACCCGAACTGAAACCACATGATCCGATATTGATTAAACTCGAAGCTAACCGACATGACAATACATATTCACATAAATTCTTGAGTAATAAAGAGCAACATCGGAAGTTATGACGATAAAGAGCGAACACATTTCACAAGAAAATATAAAGGTTGATCAAAAAATCTAAAAGTTGACTCGAATTGAAACCGTCGAAAATCTAATGGTTGACCCGAACTGAAACCACGATCTGATATTGATTAAACTCGAAGCTAACCGATCTGATATTAACCGACCCAAAAGCCAAGAGATCCAGTTTGACTCGAGCCAATACCCACCCAAACTGAATTTTCTTTGACCAAACTAAACACAAATCAGATTCAATTTGACCCGAACCGAACTTAAATCAAATGCAATATTGACCCGAAACGACCCGTCCCAAAATAACCCAATCCGAATAAATCGATTGCCACCTCTACGAATAGCTCAAATAATAATTATTTTATTTCTTAAATCAAGAATTGGTACATGACAATTTTACTTTATTCTGGGGAATTTCTTAAATCGTAAATAAAAAAGAATAAAAAATACTAATATCTTATTTAAACACAAGATATTCACAGTCTAAGATACACAAGTTAAATCCTGGTTTAACACAACAGATATAATAATATATCACAGCACCACAGCAATCTCCATGATCGTATGGTTAATTTTAGCTGTACACCCCTTTTATTTTTGGGTCACAGCCTCACAGACACAAAGGTTCAAAAACCTGTAAAAAACACACACCATAAATTAACCATCATCATCATCGCCAACAAACATTACCATATCTCACAAAACTTTCGCTATCCCTGTCCCCGAATCAAACCCACCATCTTCCTTGTTTATTTCTTCACCTTCTGATCCAACCCGACCCGCGCCGACCCGACAGACAAGCATGGCTCGTTTCACGTTCATAAACTTGAACTCTTCCTCGACATTCTCGGGGATTGACATGTGCGCTCTCCAGCTCGTGAATAGCGTCGAGATTCCGTCCATTTTGGGCGAAAAACCATACTTAATTATCCCGCAAACGCTGCAGTATTGTTGATTACAAATACTTGTGCTCCTGTTAATTCCCAAATCACACGTGAAGGTCAAGCAGTTGAATCTCAACAGCTCGTTCCCATCAGCTATGCACCTCTCGTCTCTATTCCCCACCGCACCGTTTCTCGCGGCTTTCGCCTTGACGAGCTCTCTGTATTCTTCGAACCTCGTTCGGATCTTTGGGCTGTTATGGATCTTCAAAATACGGCGGATTTCAGGGTTCTTAACTTTGTCGGTCCAACCGGTTTTGAACATGATCCGAACTATGTTGTTGCCTGAATCCCCATCAGTGAGTTCGGATACGGCGTGCTCGGTCGCTTGATGTTGTTCGAGAAAATGGGATTTCTGGAAAATCTCCCCGCAAGCTGTGCATGGGAAGATATCATTACGTAGAGGGAAAAGCGGGCAGTCCGATGAGATGTCGGATTCCGGACAAGACCCAGATTGTATTTTATGGCGTGGATGAGCACTGTCCGAAACTGGTAAATGAATTTCAGGAGGGATAACCATGGAGACAAGGGATTGTTGGGAGTTTCTTGCAGAGATTAACGCCGGTGTGGTTGCTGATGTCGGAGGGTGTGCTTGGACGGTGTATTTGCAGTTGGCTTTAGAAGTAGAAGAAAAAATGCGTTTGATAAAAGTCCAGGTGGAGAAAATGTTGGATCATAAACTTGATCCATTATGGGAGCCTAAACCCAAACCCAAACTAAATTGATGTCATTACTTACATCATTTAATTAAAGATGTCATTGCTTACATCATTTAATTAATGATGTCATTGCTTACATCAATTTAGTTAGGTGAGAGTTAGATATTTGTTGAATTTGTAATGGTTTAAATTAGTTTATTTGTATGGTGTAGGATTGTTCTTGAGTAGTATAAATACTCCTTCCCATTTTAGTTTTAAGCATCAAGAAAAATTAAGAGCTTCTAAGTGAGTGAAGAAGCAAAGTCTTATAAGAGTGAGTTGTAGTTCTTGTTTTTGAGTGAGAGTACTCTTGTAATATTTGTTTGAGTTTCAATAAAAGTTGTTTGTGTGAGTGTTTTATTTCCAACAAAGTGGCATCAGAGAGAGTTGGAAAGATCGAAGGTCTCGACGAGAGGAATACGACGCCGCCAGAATTTTCTCAATCTGAGTTCTAACGCACCGCCACGCACCGCCGGAAGACTGCTGCCAGAAAATCGAGTTGACTCACCGAGTTGAGCCGATTAAGCCGAGTTGGAGCTCTTGACCGAGTTGTCCAAGTCCCTCCAAAGTTTTTTTCATCGTTCCGGATTCATCCGTGCAATCGGATTTTACAAAATCTCATTATATTGAGAGATATGGCAAATGGTATGGCACCATTCCAAGTTCCGACACTCAACAACAACAACTACGACAATTGGAGTATCAAAATGAAAGCACTTCTTGGATCACAAGATGTGGGGATATCATAGAGAAAGGCTAATGAGCCTGCGGATGATGATGTTTTTGCTACTCTTACACCAGATCAAAAGACAACTTTGAAGGATTCAAGAAAGAGAGACAAGAAGGCTCTCTACCTAATCTATCAAGCATTAGATGATGATGGTTTGAAAAGATTTCAAGTGCAAGCTCTAGCAAGGAAGCATGGGAGAAGCTGCAAAAACAAAGGATCCGAGCAAGTGAAGAAGGTTCGTCTCCAAACATTAAGAGGTGAATTCGAATCCTTAAACATGAAAGCATCTGAGTCTATTTCAGATTATTTCTCAAGAGTAGTAGCTGTTTCTAATCAATTAAAAAGAAATGGTGAAAAGTTAGACGATGTGAGGATAATAGAGAAGATACTCCGTTCGTTGGATCCCAATTTGAGCACATCGTCGTGACGATTGAAGAAACTAAAGACTTGGAAGAAATGAAGATCGAACAGCTCCAAGGATCATTGCAAGCATACGAAGAGAAGCATAAAAAGAAGCATGAGTTTACTGAGCAACTCCTCAAGCTGCAACTCAAGGATATGCATGAGAGCCAACGCAATGATAGAAACCAACGTGGCCAAGGCAGAGGTAGAGGCCATGGACGAGGTGGAAGTCGAGGTCGTGGACGAGGCTGGAATTACAACAATAACAATTCCAACAACAACTATGAGAAAGGAGAAAGCTCAACACGAGGCCGTGGAAGAATTAATCCAAACTCAAAGTATGACAAATCTAAAATTCGATGTTATAATTGTCAAAAATTTGGGCATTATGCTTCAGAATGTAGAGCTCCCAACAACAAAATTGAGGAGAAGGCCAATTACGTGGAGGAAAAGACAGATGGCAAAGAAACTCTTCTTCTAGCACGAAAGGAAACTGATGGTGGCCAAGCAAATTCCTGGTATCTTGACAGTGGTGCAAGCAATCACATGTGTGGAAGGAAAGACATGTTTGTGGAGCTAGACGAGTCAGTAAGTGGAAATGTTTCGTTTGGAGATGATTCCACAATAGCAGTGAAAGGAGAGGGAGAGGTATTCTTATCCGTTTGAAAGATGGGAGACATCAATTTATTTCAAATGTCTACTATGTGCCCAATATGAAAAGTAACATTTAAGTTTAGGGCAACTGGTAGAGAAAGGTTATGATATTCATATGAATAATTATAATCTTTCTATAAAAGATGATAAGAATAACTTCATTGCTAAAGTGCCGATGTCAAAGAATAGAATGTTCTTGATCAACATACAAATGATGTTGCAAAGTGCCTGAAAGCTTGCTACAAAGATGCATCATGGCTTGGCATCTTCGATTTGGGCATCTCAATTTTGGAGGTCTAGAGCTATTATCTAAGAAGGAGATGGTGAAAGGACTACCTCACATCAACCATCCTGACCACTCTGTGAAGGGTGTCTAGTCGGGAAACAATTCAGGAAAAGCTTTCCAAAGGAGTCAGAGACAAGAGCTAAGAAGCCACTTGAGCTCATCCATACCGATGTGTGTGGACCGATCAAGCCAAGCTCTCTCGGTAACAATATTTCTTCTCTTCATTGATGATTTTTCAAGAAAAACCTGGGTATATTTCTTGAAACAGAAGTCAGAAGTTTTTGAAGTCTTTAAGAAGTTCAAAGCAGCAGTGGAGAGAGAAAGCGGTAGAAAGATCAAAGCCATGAGATCCGATCGAGGTGGAGAATTTACTTCCAGGGAGTTTCAAGAGTTCTGTGAAGCAAATGGAATTCGTCGACCAATGACAGTTCCTAGATCCCCCCAGCAAAATGGTGTGGCAGAAAGAAAGAATAGAACAATCCTCGACATGGCACGAAGCATGCTCAAAGCAAGAAACTACCCAAAGAATTTTGGGCGGAAGCAGCGTGTCAGTCTACTTGTCAAATCGATCTCCAACAAGAAGTGTATGGGGAAAGACACCGCAAGAGGCATGGAGTGGAAGAAAGCCTGGCATTTCCCACTTGAGAACCTTTGGAAGTATAGCCCATGTTCACGTACCAGAGAGAAGAACGAAGCTTGATGATAAAAGCGAGAGTTTTATCTTCATCGGCTATGATGCTAATTCGAAGGGCTACAAGTTGTACAATCCAGACAATAAGAAGTTTGTGATTAGTCGAGATGTGGTCTTCAACGAAGAAGGAGAATGGGATTTTAACTCTCATACAGATGACTTCAATTTCTTTCCTCAGTTTGAAGAAGATGAGCAGACAATGGGAGCAACTAGATGAATCTCAACAAGAGCTTGCAACTCCACCCACTTCACCAACATCAACCACTCAAGGAGACTCATCACCTTCATCATCGTCAAGTGGGAGTCAAAGTGAAAGAGTTGTGCAACGCACAAGAAGCCTTAGAGATCTCTATGAGGTAACTGAACGACAAGATAATCTTACATTATTTGTCTGTTTGCCGATTGTGAACCAGTGAGCTTTCAAGAAGCGGTACAAGAAAAGAAATGGAGAGATGATGGACGAAGATAAATCAAGGCCATCGAGAAGAATGACACATGGGAACTTACCTCACTTCCCAAGGGACATAAGGCGATAGGTGTCAAATGGGTGTACAAAACAAAGCAAAACGCCAAAGGAGAGATTGAAAGGCACAAGGCGAGGCTAGTTGCTAAAGGCTATAGTCAAAAGCTGGAATTGACTATGATGAGGTATTGCTCCTTGCTCGATTGGAGACTATCATAATCATTCTTTCTCACAAACAAGTGGAAGATACAACAGATGGATGTAAAGTCCGCCTTCCTAAATGGAGTTCTTGAAGAGGAACTTTACATTCAGCAACCATCAGGCTATGAAGTCAAAGGGCATGAAGACAAGGTGTTGAAGTTGAAGAAGGCTCTTTACGGGCTAAAACAAGCACCAAGGGCATGGAATAGCCGAATCGACAAGTACTTCCAAGAGAATGGCTTCAACAATGTCCCTACGAGCATGCTCTATATATCAAGATCAAGATGAAGATTTTGATGTGTGCCTACGTGGACGATTTGATCTTCACTGGAAGCAACCCAAGCATGTTTAATGAATTCAAGGATGTGATGATGAAAGAATTCGAGATGACAGACATGGGGCTCATGGCGTACTACCTTGGCATTGAAGTTAAGCAACAAAATGATGGAATTTTCATTTCACAGGAAAGCTATGCAAAGGAGATACTGAAGAAGTTCAAGATGGAGAACTGTAAGCCAATAAGCACACCGGCAGAATACGGGATCAAGATGACCAAACATGAAGAAGGCGAAAGTGTAGATCCAACATTCTTCAAAAGTTTGGTAGGAAGTCTACGCTATCTAACTTGCACGAGACCCGATATTCTTCACGCAGTTGGATTGGTTAGTCGCTACATGGAATCCCCAACAACCACCCATTTTAAAGCCGCAAAGAGAATTCTTCGCTATCTGAAAGGTACAATTGACTTTGGCTTGTTCTATTCAGTTTCTAATGATTACAAGCTTGTTGGATATAGCGACAGTGATTGGGGTGGAGACATAGATAATCGAAGGAGCACTACTGGATTCGTATTTTTCATGGGAGATATTGCATTCACATGGATGTCAAAGAAACAACCGATTGTCACATTATCCACTTGTGAAGCGGAATAGTTGCTGCTACCTCATGTGTTTGTCATGCAATTTGGCTTAGAAATCTATTGAAGGAGATTGGTTTGATACAAGAAGAGCCTACCAAGGTTTGTGTCGACAACAAGTCAGCCATTGCCTTAGCAAAGAATCCAGTATTCCATGATCGAAGCAAGCACATTGATATTCGCTACCACTATATAAGGGAGTGTGTTGCTTAAGATTAAGGAACCTACTAGGGGTCACGAGATCAAGTTAAGGGAGGGTGTTGGATCATAAACTTGATCCATATGGGAGCCTAAACCCAAACCCAAACTAATTGATGTCATTATTACATCATTTAATTAAAGATGTCATTGCTTACATCATTTAATAATGATGTCATTGCTTACATCAATTTAGTTAGGTGAGAGTTAGATATTTGTTGAATGTAATGGTTTAATTAGTTTATTTGTGTGGTGTAGGATTGTTCTTGAGTAGTAAAAATACCCCTTCCCATTTTAGTTTAAGCATCAAGAAAAATTAAGAGCTTCTAAGTGAGTGAAGAAGCAAAGTCTTATAAGAGTGAGTTGTAGTTCTTGTTTTTGAGTGAGAGTACTCTTGTAATATTTGTTTGAGTTTCAATAAAAGTTGTTTGTGTGAGTGTTTTATTTCCAACAGAAAAGACCTTTTCGGTGCTTGTGAGAATCAGGAGAAACTAGAAAGAGGCGAGGATTTGCGTTTCTTGGTTGGCTTTTGGTGGTCTTTAGCGGCGGCGAGAACGAAGCAGCCGAGGTGGAGAAGAAGGATAAAGAGAGAAAGGAACTTATTGAAGAATGACCCAATATTAGTTTTCGCCATTGATTGGCACAAACAGAGAATTAAAGAGAAGTTTGATAGAAAATTTTAAGCAGGGTGGAATAGCTTTTTGGATGCAGGTTTCAGGCCATCAAGCAAGAAGTCAATCCAGAGAGAGATAATGATGGAAGGGAAAAAGGAAAGGAAGATGAATTTGTAAGGGTGGGGGCATGGAAGATATGTACAAGTAGGTGACGCCACGTTGCCATACATTTTTTGGTTCAAACATTTGCATATAATATGATACCTCTTCCTCCCACTTTCAATTTCTTTATTAGATACTAATATTCTTACAAATTGTTATTTGGTAGGATACGAATATAATAATTAAATTTCCTACTTCGATGGATAATAAATTACTCTATTTAATATGAGATTTCGTACATTTCCTTGTTCATGAATTTTGTCCCATTAGAATAACTATAGGGCATGGCCCATCAACCGACATTGGGCAAGAAACTCTACTTTCATAAAACTTTTTTCTTATTGAGATTTTATTATTTAAATTATCCTGTAAACTATAATGTAAAGGATCGAATTGCTTCCTGACTCGAAAGGAGTCAATACTTCTTATGATATATAAATAAGCTCTTAATCATTCATCTCATACTTGAATATTTTTTTAATAAATTATTATTTTATTAATAAATAATTAACAATATTAATATAACAGATAATATTAAAATAAAATCATTTAAAGCATAAACCTACGCCACAACGAAATCATTTTAGATCCATATAATTATCTAATTTATTCATTATTTTCTTCTTTTTCAATCTTTTGAGATGTATAAATTTTATATTTTATCCGCTGATAAACAATAAATTTAAAATTTTCTTATCATATTTATTTTGTACTCTTAAGTATAGGTTTGATATTTGTTTTTGTTGAACATACCTTTTCTTCTTCTTATTTGGTACATAAAAGTTTATGTTAGACATGATCCCTCAGTACAGGGCTAGAGCATATCTAAGATCCAATTGAGATTTACATAAGAATTTACATATCGTCTGCCAAGATTGAAGGTGGTAGGATTCGAACTTGACTTTACAAGCTCAAATTCCTGAATCCCAACCACTTGTGCCAACATCGTTGGATTTGTTGAACATACGTTGATATTTTAATATATCAAAATAGATTAATATTATTAATAAAATTTAAGATTATACTCGATTCGATTATTCGAATATATAACTTTTTTGAAGTCAAAAACTACATTTTACTATTACTTTATTGAAAATTTAAATCATATATTGGAAATAATTTTTAAAACAATTTTACAAAGGGTTTCGAACTTTAATTGAGTCAAAAATTATTTTTAAGCTCATCAGTATCGATACTGCAAGAACATTACCGATATTGTTCATGTGGTACTGCTGTAATATTGATGCTAATAGCTCAATACACAGCAATACCGATATTGCTCATAGCAGTATCGGTACTCCTTGAGCTTTGTAAATTCTAGTAAGCTATTTTGGTACTGATACTATGCCAGTATCAATATCATTATTGGTACTCGAAGTGAGCGTGCCAACACTTCCCTTATGTTTTTGAGTTTGAAATTCAATATACCATTTTGGTATCGATACTCATCAAGTATCGATAATACTAAGTACTAATACTCAATTTATCAATACCGATACCCTTTTCTCCAACAACAATATTTTTGTATTTAATGCTGGAAGTATCGATACTCTAAACACAAATACTGATACTCAAGGCGTCTGGGCAGCATTTATTACGGGAAATTTCATCTCAACGATTTTGTTAACTTTAACAATTACCCAAACAATTAGAATTGAATGAAGAGGTATAAAAACAAGATTTCAAGTCATATGTGAAAACAATAAATCAATAAGAAAGTCAAAGCAATCTCATTAAGCCAAAAAATTCAATCAACATTCTCAAATATATTTTTTTCTTTCAATAACACTTGTGTACTTTTTCTTTTTTACCTTTTCAAGTGTTCTATTTATTTTGAATTGTGCAAACACATTTCTTGTAATAGATTTTCAAAGTTTGTTATTTGTATTTTTTTCTTAGAAAGGGTTGTACCCTTAAGATAATTAGAGGTGAATATATAAAATAAAAATTTATAGGATGAATGAGTTCAAATTTATATAAATAAAATTCATGTTAAATTTGAGGTAAAAAAATGATATCTTTTAATTTTTAGTAATTTAATTTAATTTTTTTTAAAAAATTATTTTAAATTATAAATATTTTAAATTAAAAAATAAAATAATCCCATTAACTTTTAGAAAAAATCAATTTAATTACGTCAACACTTTAACCATAAACAATAAAAACCGTTAGTCAAAAGATCACATTAAATCTGTTTTTTAAGTTTAAGGGTCATATTAAATATAAAAAAATCACAAAAGCCACGTTAGTTTTTTTTTCCCCCCATAAAATACGACTCACATATCATTTTTGCCTAAATTATGTAATAAGTGATCATTAATTAGTCGTCGATGTCCAACTAATCTTAAATATAAAATCAATTGAAATTTATAATAACTCAGGGCACAAATTATTTAGTAAATTTTGTAAACAACTTTAAAGTATATAACTTAGCAACTAATAATCTTAAAATAGTTAAAAAAACGATCTAATGATTTATAAAAAATTACGTCAACCTTCACAAAATCACAAGTTGCCAGCTGGAAAAAGATTAAATTTTCTGCATGTGGTTGGGCGGCCCCTAATTGTACTCAAGCTGCTGAGCAGTGAAGCTCTTAAAATTCATTTTATACACACACACACATATAATCCTGGTAATGAGTCATGACATAGACGTGCCTCATCACTTACATGCATTATATATAAACTGACATACACACTTTGTTTCAAAATTTTAGAAGTTAATTATTCATTTTTCGTAGAAAATAGAAAGAAAATTAAGGAATAATATTAACGTAAACAAATTAATTTTAACTATTTAGTTAAATTTATTTAATAATTATATTTAATATAATATATAAATTTGATAAATTTACATAAAATAGTTACATCCTACTCTTATAATTTTTGTATAAGTTCATATTATTACATGTTTATGTTTTATTTGTATCTAATTTTGATATTTTTTTATTTGTACGGAACAATTATTATTTGATTGTGGGGGTAAATTTCTGATGTGTAGTTTCTTTCATAAATTATTGAACATATACGGTATTGTACGCAGACAATCTACGGGTGTGTAAATTCGGGTACCTATAATATCTGGATCTGTGATTTTTTAGCCTGTGTTCAGACTCAGATGTTGCGGGTACCATTTTTTTCCTTTTTAAATTATTAATTAAAAATATATATGTTAATTTAAATATTTGAAACTTCGAATTTCATACTCCAACATCCGATAATAAAATTTAAAAGTTCAAAATACAAAATCTAATAATTCATAATATAAATAATTCATTATATTATAATATATATATATATATATATATATATATAAACTAACCGGGTACTCGGTACCCGGAAAAACACAATTTTGTGACCCAGGCCCGACTCGGCCGGGTAATTTGTTTTAGAAAATTACCCGGTTTTATAATGTTTGGGTCAACGGGTCGACTGGTCAGGTTAACCGGGTCATATATTTTTGCACACCCCTAGAAGATACCGTCACTTAGGTGGTGTTTTTTTTTACTGTGTAAGGTTTGCAAAGCTCTTATGTCTGCGCCACACAGACCATACGCAGACATTGAGCTTCGCAGACCGTTTATTTTTTAGAAGACATAAGTTATTCTAACGTCTACGCGGCGCAGACGTGGTCTTATGTCTGCATACGTTTTCTAACCTCTTCAAATAGGTTTTATATTTAATTTTATATTATATTGATTTTGATTTTAATATTAATTTTTAAATAAATTAAATATTGATTTTTTAATATTATATTATAAATATTAATTTTAATATTAATTTTTTAAATAAATTAAACATTAATTTTTAATATTATATTATAGATATTTAATTTTATATCATATAAATTAAACATTAAAATTTTATATTTATTTTAATTATTTTGATTTAAGTTTAAATATAATATTTTTTTGGATTTGTTATTTTTAAATTATATTTAAACTTTTTACAAAATGTAAGTATATAAATCACATTGCTTAATAAAAAATGATTTCATTTTTGATAATTAAGATTTTAAAATATAAAATTATAAATTATGTTTTTAAAATTTTAAAATATAATCACAATTAAATAAAAAATAATCATAAAATAATTTGATAAATAAAAAAATATTTTCTAAAAATATCATATAATTATAAAAATAAATTATGAATATATATTTAAAAAAAATTAAAAGTATTACATAATTGCATATTTAAAAAATCATATAATTTAGTGATCATTTATAAATTTTATTCTATAAAACTTATAAAACTAATAATACATGTGATTATGTGAGACTTATAATAGAATTAATAAGGTGGTGTTTATTTTTCTAAAAAAATTTATTATTGTAGTTGTATGAATTATTTAAATTTCAGTATTGTACAATTAAAATTATTTAAATCTCAGTATTGCAAAACTCTTTTAAGTTTAAAAAATCAGTTTATTTATATTTCAGTTTATTTTAGCAGTTTGCAGACATTAAAAAACAAACAATCTTCTTATTGCAGACTGCAAACTTTTGGTCCACATCTTCTGCTGTAGATGTCTGCTGATGTAGTCCGCAGACTGCATACCTTTTACCTCTGCAAAAACAAACACCACCTTAGTCTGTGTTTGTTTTCACTGTTCCACCTCTTCAAACCTCTTATGTCTGCGCCGCGTAGACCACGCGCAGAGATTAGGCTTCGCAGACCGTTTGTTTTTTAGAAGACAAAAACTCTTCTAACATCTGCGCGAGCTCTTCTTGGTGCATACATGATTTTATGTATTCAAAGGTCTTCAAACATCTTCAAGAACAACTATAAAATATGGTTATTTATTAAAATAATTTTAAATAATTTAATAAGGTTATTTATTTTAAAATTATTTATTATAAAATAATTTATTTTAGAATACATTATTATAAAATATAGATTGATTTATTTTAAAATAATTTATTTTAAATAATTTGATTTATTTATTTTAAAATATGGATTGATT